ATCAAATCAGATAGTGCATCCTCTCATGCCCATACAAAGGATTTTTGGGATGGTCCAAGGGAGGGGTAAAGGTGGGTCCTAAAGAGGTGAATCTAAGTTTAACTTTCTTTTCTTGTTACCAAGGAAACATCCTGTCAGTCTTTCTTATCTCTTCTTTGTTCCTCTTTGAAATTCAGGGTCCCTCTCTCTCTCTCTCTCCCTCCCTCTCGTTCTTTGCCTGGTACCAAGCTAATTTGCAACTTGTTTATTCAAAGACAGTCAGGCATCTAACAGCTGGCTGCCTCAAGGCAAAGGAAAATGGGGTGGGGGAAATTCTGTGCTTTTTAAAAGGCAAAAAGCAAGTTACAAGTTAAAGTTTTAAACATAATGTAAAATAGTGTGCACTATTAAATGTATGTTATACATCATGTGAAATATACATAGAGTATAAAATTGTGTATTAAAATAATGCCCTTCAGGTGGATAAACATATGCATATATTTATCAAACTATTCTCTCTTGGGTAAGCTGTGTTACACAGAGCACAGGAAAGAATAAGAAATAGTAAGCCTCCCCCCAAAAAATTAAAGGACTGAAATAAGTAAAGGAAATATACCCACCTCTAGTTTACACAAAGAACATTCACTGGACTTCCCCATAACATTCCATCTTTGCAAATTATTATTTCTCGCACTACATCTATAAGCCACTTCACATACTGCCTTTTCTTCTTTAACTTCTCTAGAGGCCCATCCATACAGGTAAATTAGGGCAACATATTTCAAGGAAAAAAACATTTTTCAAAGGGCGATGGTGCCGATTACGTGATTCGCTTAGGGTGCCACTTCCTGGCAGCTAATCTGGGCTTGCTATCATGGGTTCTTTTTCCTTTTTCCAAACAGTACCCAATTTTGACTTACACAGACTCAAAAGCACCAAAAACCACTGAACCCTAGACACTTGGGGTTTTATGTCTCCCTATAAGGGTTAGGGAGGTTTTTTGTATACAACACTATCCAAGATATAAAAGTGATATATACAACATGTGTGAGTCCTTCCTATAACTATTATCTTAACCTACACTCTATTGACTAAACAAACTTTTCTCTATACTATATTCTACTACTATTGCTATTACTATACACTATACTATTACTTCTACTACTAAGCTATATTCTACCACTACTGTTACTAGTATACTATTTCTGTTGCTCTTTTACTACTACTATTACTAGTATGCAAAAGGGTTGTGCTCTTACAGACCCAAGTCTCTCTCTCTCTTCCTCTGGGATTTCTTCTTCTTTTTCTTTAAATGGTCAGCTTGTAGACCTCTTGCACCTTTTTTTACATTGTGCTTTGTCTTGCTTGGCCGCTATACATCCTTTCTCTCGTTTGGACCTTCAACACCTACTTTCATTTGGCTAGTGGTGGTGGTGCTGCTGCTCCCGCTCCTCCTGTGAAACTACATGTGTCTCCTCTGTTCTCCTCCTCCACCCATGCCAAGATTACAGTGTTATTGGCACCTTTGCCTGCTCATGCAGGAGCGAAGTCCCACATAGGAGTGGAGGGAGGCAGCACAGGTGCCTGCAATTCTTTCTCCACAGCCTTTTCTTCCACATTCACCACTGAGCTTCTCAACTGGATAAGTAGCTTCAGAGAAAGTTGTTCCTCAAATCCTAATTAATTAACCCATCCCAATATTTTCAGCTTCAGAATAAATAAAAATAAAGCTTCAGGATAAAAGCTTAGACAGTCCTAGATCAATTGTTTTCTGTGTTTCTTGGATAGCATTCCAGTAATATATAGGCTCCTTACTCTATCCCATGCTTCCACTATTTCTACATTATTGAAATGGGTATCTTTGGGTGTATCTAAAAGGTAGGAGTTACAGCAGCTATTTCTCATGCAGATCAAGGCCAACTTTCCCATTTGATCAACACATGAGTATATCACATAGGTGTCTGCAACAAGGGAAAGGGGGTGACAAATGGCAACCTAGTCTACTCTTTCCCTATCTTAGTAGAAAGAGTAACATGGAAAAATAGACAATATTCCATAACCCTACTCCAAGTTTGGATTCTGTCCAGGTGAGTAGGACTGAGCTCACATATTGTACTAAGCCTTTATTCATTTAACTAAATAAAGCACAATTGGCTAGATTTGCACAATGAGCCAGGGTGGTACGGTGGTTAAGGTATTGAACTCACTCTCTGAGTGACTTTGGACTGGTCACTATCAGCCTAACCCATCTCACAGGTTGACAAAGTCTGTAGGAAGGCTGACAAAATAACAGGAGAAACATAAACAACCAAGAAATGGGAGAGGAGTTTGGTCATTCCTTATCATAAATGGTAGAGCAGTCCAGGTTACAAACAGCTCAGAAGAAAGAGGTGGAGAATGTTTAAAGATTCTGCATTAATGAACTCATTAATAAATGAGAGCCGGAAGTTCCTATGTCAAGCTCTCACAAAAGAGCAAGGAAGCAAGAATGAATCAGACAGACTTCAATAAGGTGTTTCAATGCAAGGAGTGGGATAAAGGAGATAATCTTTTAATATTTCCTTCCCAGGTTTCCTGCAGCCTGGACTGAAGTTCTGTTTATGAGATAAGCTACTTCTTGGCAGCCTATCTCATAAACATGGCTCTGTCTTGGTTGCTTGTGTCTAACATTCCTCCTGTTACTCCCAGCTTCCCCAGAATCTGTCATACAGGATTATTGTGGGGAGAAATTGAAGGAGGGAGTTCTATGTAGGCCACCTTTTGCTCCTGAAGGAAAGGGAAGATATAAATCTAGCCAAAAATGAATAAATACAATAAGATAAACAGTGGCTGAATTCATACAAGAAGATAAACCAAAAACCAGGATGAAAAGCAATGTGTAAATCTAGCCTGGCAAAAGAAATTATCTATCTATCTATCTATCTATCTATCTATCTATCTATCTATCTATCTATCTATCTATCCTGCATCAGGGTCTTGGAATCTGATGGTATAGACATGATATAAATATTGCAATAAATATATCTCAAATTTGGGGCCGGTATCTCCAGCCACTGTTGTTAATAATGAGGGATAGTGGGAGCTGTAGTTCAGCAATAACTGGCAGGCCACAAGGTCCCCACCTCTGACCAAGGAGAAATGTTTTCCTTTGCAAAGATGGCTTTTCTGCAGCCAGGCTGCAGAAAATTTCATACTCTCAGCAAAATATCGAAAGAAGTCAGATACGCATGTCAGAAAAGCCTCCAAGAAAATATTAGAGGAAAAATCAGAATCTCCCCCCCAAAAAACGGGGGGGGGGAGAAAAATAATGTTTAAACAAAGAGTTATTTATGTAGTTCAGAAAGAGAGAGAGAGTGAAAGAAAAGCTTAGAGAGACGGATTGGAGTGAGCAACCTGGCTGTTTTATATTGGCTTCTGAGAGGTAAGGAAGTAAGGACGAACCTTGCAATGAAATGCGGAAAGAAGGCAAGGAGATTTATTGAAAGATGGAGTAAGAGAATATTACCAATTCTCATTAACAGAGAGTGTCTACATTCTAGAAGGTGGAAAAATAAGCACTAGCTGGTAGTTTCGTCAAGGAGGAGAGATTCAGGAAAAGCAATATTGGTGGCAGTTAGGCCCTCCTAAGTCTCCAAAAATTCATCCAGAAGAATGCAAAGGCAAATGATACTAAGAAGGATAGGCTTAATGAGAATGAATGAATGAATGAATGAATGAATGAATGAATGAATGAATGAATGAATGAATACGGAATGGATTGGCATGTTGCATTATTAAAGCATTGTTTATCTAACCATAATTTATTGAGTACGTCATGATTGGTTGGGTTCACACAGCTTGCTGAGCCAGAATCAACAAACCACTTTATATCTTAGCATGTTGGGAAAGCCAGTCCAATACATTTTAATTTGACCTTCAGTCAATCTCCCTGCTTACTTGTTGACTTCTTAAAATGGTTATTGAATTTCAGCCTTTTTTGTAATTATTTTTATTATTTGCTCTGGATTCTAGGTCCAGAAATGCTTGACATAATTTGATTTTTTTTTAAAGTGTAGTAATTCCTTATCGTTTGCTCTGGAGAGGAGCAGGAACTGCTGATTGCTTGCTCACCTAAATGGGAACCATTACTTCTACTGCTATCTCTGCTTGCTCAATCTAATGGAACAATCTGAAAAAGCAGTTGCCCTTGCAATACTGTCCAGAAGATGAATTGTCCTTTTTCCTTCTCCTGACACTGAACATGTTGGACATGTGGCCCTGAGAATTAGGATCAGCCATGGTCATCACTGGCTTTCCTTCCTAGTATACATCTTCAAATCATAATATATCGACACCCCGCTTCAGAATACTTTAAATTGTTAGAGGCTCTGCTCCCATCATTGGTTATGGCATAAAGAACGTAATCAGTCTCAGCAAAAGCACTTTCCCTCCACTTTAATTATTTCACTGTTCCAGCCCTTTCAGCTTCAAAGTGGTTGAAGCCCTTAAAAGTTTTAGCTTACAATGTACTTGACTAAGTTTGTGTTTATTTTTGAACTAGGTGGCATTATAGCAGTAAAAGGAGAGGATGGCCTCCCTTCTGTCTATATTAATGCATGGCTGCTACAAAATCTGATGATAGACTGAAATGCTCACTAACTGCAGAAGGGGATAAAGCCCAACTCCAGCAGTAGAAAAGGCTGCAATTGCCTACCTCAGAGAGGTGAAACACACACACCAGCCACTATAAGATCAAGCATTTCACCAGTTACAGTAACCCAGTTATGTGCATTCACTGAGCAATGACACATGCCAGGACTAGCGTTCCTAAGGTCTGGATTTCTCTGGAGAAAAAAAATCACTGGAGTCACTTGTTGAGATGGGCGGCTATAGAAATCAAATAAATAAATATCTGGATTTTTGCAGATAAACAAATGGAACATGATTAGTGGCAAACAGCAGACCCACTGCCTAATAAGGGATCACTAGAATGAGGTTTCCTGCACCGCGGTGTTCCTTCCAAGCCTCTAATTCTCTCTACCAACCCTCTTCCCTCAGATGGGGAAAGATTAGCACATCATGTTCCCCAAAGGCCTGAGAGATCTTTCCTTCTAAAACAATCTGCATTATGAAAACCATCTTCCACTAATTCCCCCACACCACCCCCAAACCATCCTTTGACCTATCTGGATTATTAAGAAATATTAACATTTTGTGATCAAATCCCAGGCAGCAGTCAGATTTTACTTTGAGGCAAGCCCATGATAATAATACTAACTTACTTGGAAAGCAGCTTCACAACTACCAACGGAAAGTATAAAGATCTCTTACCTTCTCCTTCTCCTTCTCCTTTCACTGAATCATCCCCTAGTCCAAAATCTCCTGGTATTATATAAGTTGCGGAGATCTTCTCCTACTTCCGCTATCTGTATTGGAATTGAAGTCTTTGGGTGTGTACAAATGTACAGTACATAAAAAGGAGGAGTTACAATAACTAAACCTTCTGCAAATCAAGACCAGTGTCCCTGTGACATACAATTTCTTCTCAAAGATACATGTTTATCGGCAGCTGTATTGCTAATTCAACCACCAGTCTTATTCTTCCTGCACATTCAGTGCATTTCTGTGTCTACACACACACAGTGACACATACACCAAACATCTTTCAGGGTAACCAACATTAGACAGAGAGGAGAAAAGAAGTAATAAATAATAAGCCAAAGGAATTAAAGCATGAGATAAGGAAAAGAGAAGAAAATACAGTTAACACCAATGCCATCCACTTTAAAAGGGATCTTAACTGCTTCCAGTTTTGATAAGAGAGATTTGAAATATTGATAAATGGTTTCCAAACTGAGGTATTCATGATTGTCTGTTGCAAAGCACTAGAACTTGTTTTTCCAGATTTTGATTCTAAAGAATTTTGATACTGAGAGAAAAAAAAAGTTTTTGCTTCTTGGGAAACGGACTGGGCAGTAATCTAACTTAATCCTTAGGTTTAATGTCTTTGTATTGCAAACAAAGAAGGAGATCCACCTCGAACCAGTTTCTTTCTCAAGTAGTTCATGTATTTTAGAAAGCCATCTATGTGTATGGGAACATGTGAGAAAACAGCTTTCTTTCAGGTTTTTAAAAGGCCAGTAAAGGTTGTTGCTTCACACCAGAAGCAAACCAGTGATGAAACTTGGAAAAATAACAGCAGTAGACATGAAATGTGTACATTTCAAGAGTATATGACTTAGAGCCATTTCATATCTGATTGTAGGCAG